TTTCGCCAGCGCCGACCCGTGAGGGTCATCCTCGGTCTCCGCCGCGGTGGGAGCGAGCTCCTTTTCCCGCGGCATCGACCGGCGCTGCGTACCTCCGGGCCCCGCGCGAACGGGGCCCGCAGGTTTGCTTGGGCTCATGCGCTTATCCTCCTGACGATTTCAAGCACTTTTTACTCTCTTTCCAAAGTTCTTTTCATCTTTCCCTCGCGGTACTTGTTCGCTATCGGAAACCTGGCCGTATTTAGCCTTGGATGGAGCTTACCACCCATGTTGGGGCTGCACTCCCAAGCAACCCGACTCTTCGGATGCGTCTCGTGGAGTGACGGGTCGTCGCCCGACGGGGGTGTCACCCTCTCTGCCGCCACTTTCCAGTGGACTTAAGGCGGCGCCCGTCACAGAGAACGCTTCCTTTTCAGACTACAATTCGGAGGGCCGGGGGCCCTCGGATTTCAAGCCTGGGCTTTTCCTTGGTCGCTCGCCGCTACCAAAGGAATCACGGTTGTTTTCTTTTCCTCCGCTTAGTAATATGCTTAAATTCAGCGGGTGGTCTCGCCTGACTTGAAGCCATCGTTTGGGGTTTGCCCGGTTCCTCCCCGTCCGACCATTTTTGTACGAGCCCCGTCCGCCTCTCGCCCGTTCTTGTGCGCTACTTTGGAGGGGGAGACCGGGGGTTGCCACGCCCCCGGCTCCCGAACCTTTTCGCGACCGTCTCGGGAGAGAAAAGAGGGACCGAGTGACCGGCCCCCCCACCTGCTGGGAGGTCCGGACGGAGTCCGTTGGCCGGCTGGGTTCGCCGAGCCCAGCGGGGTCGCCGCCCGCCTCATCTCGCTCGTCCCACTCGCGTCCTCCCGGGTGGCGCCCGGGGATCTGCACTGGGGTCGAGAGGAGCGGAGACGGGCTAATGCGGCCCTGCGATTTCAACCGACTGCCCCCCATTTGTGCCCCGGAGCGCACGGGTTGCGACGGCCATCTCGTTTTCCCAGGTACGAGCGATTGTCTCGGAGAAAGGGGGGGGCCGGAGCCCACACCAACCCGAGCGCCCCTTGTCTGCCCCGCATTGCTTTCCCGTCCCGTTTCCCCTGCCGCACTTAGCTGCGTGCGGAGGGGTGGGTTCGGATGCGAGGTTCCACCTGGATGTGTGTGGCGTTCAAGCAGACGTGCCCTCGGCCGAGGCCTCGGGCGCAACATGCGTTCAAAGTTTCGATGATTCACGGAGTTTTGCAATTCGCATTACGTATCGCATTTCGCTGCGTTCTTCATCGAGCCAGGTTCCAAGATATCCATCGTCAGGAGTGGGGTCCCAGTTTTTATTAGGTGCCGGGGCCCGTGGGCGCCCCGCTCAAGGGAGGGTTTTTTGCGACCGGACGGCCAGTTCCGGTTGCGGAGAGGTTTGTATTCCGCCTCTGCCCGCAGCTCCTTGATGCACTGCGAGCGGGACGGTTGGGGGTAGCAAAAGGGTCCCTTTGCCATCACCGCGGGCGCCCCTTCCCGAGCCTTCCTAGAGGAATTCAGAAGGCCGGGCGAGCAAGACCCCGCAGTCACACCGCCGATGCCAAGAGAGACCGAGCACCGGTGGCGGGGGACGCTGGATTGGGAGGAGGAGCGTCGGAAGGAAAGGTGTTCAGAGGATACTCGAGGTCAGGCCCCGGGCTTCCCTCGCTTGCGCTTGGTAGGCCCGAGCTGTTTCCATCAGGGCTGGGGAGTTTTTTTTTTTGTCCGCATGGACGCCCGGTGCCGCCGGGTTGCTGCATTCCCTGGTGTCGAGGCTCGTCACGAACTGGAAGGAAAGAGCTTCGGGTGCCACCCCTCCGCCCAGGCCGACCGTGTCCGCGTCTTGCCTCGCTCCCGATCGCGGCTAGCCTTTCGGGTGGCGGCCCTAATAAGCTCGCTGCGTGAGAGGGGACGGCAACCTGACCTCCTGCGAGAGGAGGTTCGCCCGGTCCCCCCGAGTTGCGAGCAACCCGGAGGACCCGAGGGCGGTCGTTTCGTCACTCGTTCTTAGGGGCGTTTGCCGAGGTCTGGGATCAACCAGGGCGGTGCCCCATGCCTGTCGGGGTGCGCTTTCCGTTCAGCACCACAACGGATCCATCGGTGCTCGGACTTTTTTCGAGCCACCGCACCACGCCAGCTCGCCGATCGCTCGCCAAAACGACCGACGCGCTCGCGGGGCACGGCCTGAGGTGGGGTTCCTGCATTGTTCCGACGGATCCTCCGACAAGGCCACGGGCACGGAGATCCGGCAGCCGGCTGAACGCCGGTCGTCATCCTTCCGTGCCCTCGAGCGTGCTCTGGACGCTCGCCTCCTCCTAGGAGGAACGCGAGAGCCCGCCATCTCTCTCGTCGCCGCTCGCAGCCCGGGCACGGGTGGAACCCGATTCCTTTTTGCGAGCGGGACGCGAGCACGCGCTTTCCCCACCCAGGAGGCCGATGCAACGCGAGCGCCGCACCTGCCGACCCGGGGTTTGGGCTGCGATTGACCCCGCAACCCAAGGGCTCACTG